ACACAAGATTAGTCAATTATAAATAAGATTCTACTGCAACCTTCAAGAAGAATTGACACAGGCAAACAAAAAGCATTGGTCAGCCAGGTATAATCCTTCTCACTCCCATTATGATTTAGTTTTGTTGAAAAGCATTATTAGGAGTAGATCATACACAGAAGAGTTGGACCTGCATCCCTTAGTTAAATTCGAGAATTCGATTTTTCGGGAATTAAAGCCCCCCTTCAGAGTTAAGTTACAACATACTAGTATGCACTGGCGCTGCCATCTTCACCTGGTTTCCCTTATGGGTTCATAGGCTTCAGTTGTTTGAGTGCCCGAGGCAGCGACGGTGCCACTCCCGTGCATGCGCACAGGAGCCTCAGCAGTGATCTGCATTTCACGGCATATGGTATGCCCTGACTACAGAGCATCACTGCGCATGCCTGGGTGACATCATCGGCTGTTGTCGATGTGAAAATCTCCTAAACGGTACAAGTTTCATTGTACCTACGGAAAAGCCTGATTTGTAAACTTACCTGAAGGTAAAATTAAAAACAGACTTTACTGGCACATTAAAAAGTCCCGTTTTCCAGATCAGTAGCAATTCATAAACAGGGACATCCAAAGGCAGTCCAAATGAGGGGGAAAGGGGGGCAGAGCGTGAGCTTGTTCAAACCACTTGAAATGCACGCTGTTTATACAGTATATGGCCTATGCATGGCAAGTGGCGTTTAGGAGATACTCACCATTTTTGCAACCGGTGACGTCATACAAGCTGCAGTCTGAAGGGGCAGCATAGATTGTGTGCTGTCCCTTCAAACTGTTGTGCCATAAATGTGGCTGCCGTACGCATGCGCAAGGGTGATGTCATAGAGGCTCAACCAATCAAATGGCTGGAACCTGCAAACCCAAAAGGAAGACCAGGGGATAATGGAAGGCAAGTCTTTCATTATATGCTAGAAGGGTAACAATTTTTTTCGTCTTCTGTATATTTTTGTCTATGAATCCATAAGCCAGAGAAGTAGATGGACAGGCATGGACAACATTAAAACCAACTTAAGTCATAGGGATGCAACGAAATTTGATCGGCTGAAAATATCCCTATCGGCATTTTGAGCCGATACAGATGTTAAAAATGAGACCAGGTCGCAATGAGGGGTGGACTATTTGGCCTGGGGGGTTGGGGGGTGGAGAAAGGCAGGAGGAGGTAGTAAATCGTGTATACAGTGAGGGAGAAATGTAAACAGTGAGGCTTCTTCACTTGCCACAGATAAAGGTCATTGCCGGTTTTTAAATGCAATTGCCGCCTTTTTTTTTCCTTCACTTTATAGCTCCCAAAAGGAGCTGACATTCGCCCTGCTGCTAAATGAAAGAAAAGGGCAGGGTGTCACCCAGTGACTCTGCCCCTTTGTTTACTTTAGTGGCGGGGTGAATGACAGCTCTTTCTCAGAGCTATCAAGTGAAGGAAAAAAAAAAGGCGACAATTGCATTTAAAAACCGGCAATGACATTTAGCAGTGGCAAGTGAGGAAGCCTGTCTGTATACACTGCTCCTCTCCTACCCCCCTACTTGCACACACTGCCCCCCACCCTCCTCTTTACAAAGAGGACCTATCACTTGTATGCTATCACATAGGGGACTATTGGTCCCCTATCTGATAGCAATAAAATCAAAAGTTAAAAACATTTATACAAATACACATTAAAAAGTAAAAAAAAAAAAAAAAAAAATCCCTCCAAAGAATTTCGAGCCTCCCCACCCCAACAAACGCAGACATTTTGGTTTTCAGCATCCACAATTTTCAGTTTCGGCACCAGAATTTTAATTTCGTTGCACCACTAATAAGTAGTAATCCGTCACCGCTCTACAAAAAATATATAAATAAATAGGATATAGAAGGTAGAACCTGATGGGCTGTATCCTTTCTCTGCTTTACCAGAAACAAGATACTGTATATATTTTGGTAGAGGTTGGGCTTTGGGGTTAGCGGATTATATGTACACAAATTTAACTCTGTGCTTTACACAGATGACATGATGAAAACATAATTTTCCTTAAACACACAAGCATTGTCACCCTACTTATTACTTTGTAATTATTAATCCAGAAATACAAGAACTGCAATTTCTAACCTGAATATTTGAGTTGCCTGACTATTGCTTACCTCAATACTTATTGAGTCATTAACCGGAAGCAAGCATGCAGCGAGCCAAAGCAGAATAAAGTCACAACTCCTTACCTGCATACTTAGTCTGGCTCAATGAATAGGGCTTCTTTTAACATTTGTTTACACTTGCCACAAATATCCCTGATGTACATTCTGTGCCCCTACAGCTTTATAATGTATACAAGTTATACATTGTACAGAAGTAAACCCAGGGATCAAGTAGATCATAAAAACACAGCCCGTGGAATCATCACCCAAAATGGTATTTAGAATTTAAAGACAAAGCAGAAATGTTTTTGTTAACCTGAAATAGAATGCCATTATGACCCATTAGGAAACAGAAGAGGGGTACTCCTTGAAGACATTCACTTATTCATAATTATGGAGATTGGGTTTTAAAAAAACCAAAACATTCTTCAGTTCCTACAGTAGTGGTGACATCACGTTCTCCTTGTCTAGAAAACACACTGGATTCATTCAGATAATGCAAATCATTCTCGAAATGGCACCCATGTTGAGCAGCTGGCCTTCTGTGTTTACAATTTATCAGGCCAGCCATGCAGCATGGGACCTGGAAGAAAGTGGAGATCACTAGATAACAGTGTCTAATTCAGTAATTACCAGTTTCCAGGGGCATCCAAAATGGACCAACATAACTGTAAAAATATACCATACCTGGAATTCCTATTTAAACAACATGAAAGATAAACATTTACCATGATAAATCTAAAGCACTTATACAAGGAAACCACTAGAAATGAAGCCGTGCTTGATCAGCACAGAAAAGGCATAGGAGAGCACTGTAGGACTGAATGAATGTAATGAGCAAAGTTCCTTCAAAAATCTGCTTTATGGCTCAGCCTCATTCAGCGTGAAGAGCCATTTATCTTTTTGTACTAGCAGTGAGCTGTATGAAATCAGCATGTATAAGTGAATGGATATTTATAGACTACAGGAACTCACCAACACAGCTAAGTTTCACAAGCATGGAAAGACAGAGGCGCAGGGTCTGCGTCGAGCGCCTTGCAGACATTTTATAAAGATTGGTGATCGGTAAATGCTTCATTAATAAAAGGATACAACAAAAATACTCAACACTTAAAGCCAAAATTTGCTAAACAACTGCAGGGTGCAGGTAAAACTGTTCAGAGCCTTGCACAGTTTTAAATGACCTTACCAAAAATTAGCTGTAAAATTAGGCATAATTGTCATCTTTTCTAACATTTGACATTCAAAATTAAGAAAAAAGAAAAAAAAAATGTGAACACCTTATTTACAGGAAACCTAAGCAATTATCATGTAGATCAATGTGGAAAAGAAAGAAATGTCGCCATGAAGATTGTGGGTCTAATTATGGTGAACAGACAGTGCAGTCTGGGTATCAGTTTCACATTATGCCAAGGATAAAACAAGGACATGTGCAAAAGCTTCTAATCAGATTCTACAAAAATTGTTCCAGCTAGTGGCCTGATTCTTACAGATATGAACATTAAATACATTTCCAGATTTATACTTATATGCACACAGTATATATACAGTACATTCCAGTATTCGTTTATCAGTTCTGTCCATGCTTGTGCTTTACAAGAATCTTTAGGTGTAAACAGTAGTAGAAATAAATCTGCTTTCTGTGTCTACAAAACAAAGTAGGATGCTCCAACTAAGAAGAATTCCATGGCCTACACAAAACAAAGTAACAGGTCTCTTTTCCTGAGATGTAATGAAGCTCTGCCCCCACAGCCATGTCCTTCATTCACAGCGATCTGTGAATGAGAGAACTACAAGTGCTGTCTACAGCAGACGGTTTGTAGTTCTCAATGAACTGCAGAAGCACTGATGAGTGTGCTTGTAGTTCATACATAAGCCCTGTAGCTTTCAAACTAACAACTCGTACAGAGGCAAGGGCTGAAAGCTGTAGGGCTTGTATGCAGGAGCCTGACATTGAACCAATGATCCATTGTGGTTTATGCTACAGGGACACACTAATCAGGATATCATTACAATAGCTCTAAGATATACTACTTTACTGCTTGTAATATATTTGAATTTGCTGTTATTTTAGTTTAAAATCAAATATAGCAGAAGGAATAAGGTAGTATTACCAAAAGATTTTGTAATAGTATTGTAGTAGCATAAACCAGAATATATTCAGTTAAGGGCAAGTCTGCCATATGACATTTCTTGAAACAAACTTGGCTTAAGCTGGCCACACCACCCCTATCAGAGGCGGATACAGAATAAGAACAAGCTATATTAGGTCTATGCTGTGAACAGAATCACGCCCCTTTGGTTACATCCGGGTGTAGGGTAAAGAATTTCAAGGTTGTAGCTTAATGGACTACTGGTCTACTATCCATATGACAAATTCAGCCTGAACCATAGCGCATCCTTAATAGAAAAGTGCTTGCTACAGGTCTTTAAACTGGCAAGTGGATGCAATATGTGTGCAAATATATATTCATGTCCCACTTGCTGCACCTACTCTATTGAACATCATTCAGTGAAGTTCTCCTTCAAAGAGTTTATGGTTATTCTAGAGTTTAAAAAAAAAAATCAAATGCAACAGTAACATCATAAGAGAAAATGTCAGGGTGCTGAAACGTAAGTGAAAAAACACTACAGGTAAATTATTCACACAAAGAAAAAGGAGTTAGTGTCAGTAACTGCTTCTTGTAAAATATAGCTCTCCTAGATTGTAAGCTCTGAGGAGCAGGGCCCTCCTAACCCTCTTGTATTGAACTGTATTGTTACTGTACTGTCTCCCGTTATATTGTAAAGCGCTGAGCAAACTGTTGGCGCCATATAAATCCTGTATAATAATAATATAGCAGCTATATACTGTTCAGCATACCTGGTACAGACAATGGCACACACTTCGCAGCTGAGTAGGGAATTCGTGGGTGGAGCTTATAATGGCATGAAAGAACTTCTCTGTCATCTGCAGTAGACACCGCTGTTCTCTTCAAGGCTTTCAACTCCATCCAACCTTCAAAGACATAATTACAAACCCAACAGAGAGAAACCAATCCACGTTAAATCGGTTGAAAGTGCAATTAATATAATTGAAAATATTTGAAAAGTAAAGCTATGAAAAAATGGAAACAAAAGTTTAGTATGAAGGTAGAAACCAGCAAGTCTCAGATATGTAAAGGTATAGGGTGATGATATTATAAAATTAAATGTTAAAGGCACTAGATAGTATATACCTGCAATTTTTTTTTTTTTTTTTAATGAACATAGTTGCCAGTTTTCTTCCAAATACAAACGGGCTTCAAATGTTATAGTAAATGTAATGTTCTAATGTTTTGATTCTGTACACTTTATTATATACGGTGTTTAACCTGTCAAACTGTTAATGAGCAACGTTAAACTGTTTGGTGCTGATAAGATGAAATAAACACAAACCTTGAAGAGTCCACTTCAAAACTGACATGTTGCCATTCAGGAGATGTTATGATCAGTCTCAATAGTGGTTCCAAAAGTTTCTGAAGGTATGTGGCCCCATATACCTGTAAGCAATACAGCAAACCATTGAAACAAGACCAATTTTAAAAGGAAACTGTCAGAAACCAAAATGCCTGTATCAGAAATCTGATGGAAGCAGAGATTTCCAACTCCAATAAGCAGCCTTACTGCCCCAGAACTGGAATGTGGCCCTTAAGAGATGGTAACACAAGCAGGTAAAACATGCTAATCCCCCCCCCCCCCCCCCCCCCCCCCCCCCCAAAAAAGTGTTTTTCTGGAAATTATTCATTAGGCATGGCATTTTGAACATGTCTACAAAGCACCAACAGAAGGTTTATCTTTTATTATAGAACAAATGTTGCAAATTTATTATACAGTGTCTGAGTGGGCGCAAAATCATTTGTTTTTACGTTTAGGATGTGTTTTGGAGTGAGGAAGAGCTAAGGCATTTGTCAGGTTTTTACTGCTATCTGTGTGCCCTTTGAAGAGATTTCCCTCACATCTGATGGCGGCTTTAAAATAAATACCATGAAAGCATTTCAAATACAAATCTGATATAAAATTGCATTCAATACAAGGATCACACGATCTGCTTTGACTGGAAATACAAACCTTAAAACAAAATGTCATGATTTTACTAGCCAAGCTGTTTCCTCTGAAAAGTGTCTGCATGGAGTCTGCTAGCTCAACTTCCTTGGAAAACATGTTCCACAGAAGCTGATACAGTAGATGTCGGGAATCAAAGAGCGTCACAAGGACTCGTGCAAGCTCGTCCTAAGCAGAAGAATAAATAAAATCTAGTCACTGAGGATTTCAAGTAAAAAAAAACTTCACACATACAAAAACATAATGGAAAACATTAAACAGGAGAAAATTTCACTTGTGCATTGATTCAAAAATCAAACTTGTTACACAGAAAATGAAATTAAGCTTGCAGTGGAGGTATGATTATTCTGGAGGATGGCAAGTGGGACATGGTTAACAAAACAAATCTGACATGCCATGGTGTGTGAAGTGGACAGCCTCTGCAAAGTCCATGAGGGAATACTTACAATCAGCTTTGTTACACTCTACACTGTTAATTCCTGTGTGGCAGCTACATCAATGACTGATAGCATACCTCTGCCACATTAGTCATCTTGTACAGGTTTTTGTCCTCACTACTAAGAAGCTCCAATAACACCAATTATGAGTACACAGTGATGTTGCTTTTGCACTACATATGTTGTATTTCTTTCCATAGTTTGATTTTAAAAAGCTGTGCATCCTTATAAAGTTGACTATTAAATCTTTCAAATGCAAAAAATTTAATGTTATATTATATAATGGTGCAACAAGCTAGAATATTTAAAGATACATAGAATAATTGTAATGTATTAAAACACCATTTGGTTGCTCCATTACACATGAAAATCAATATAACTGACCCACTGTGAGCAAGGAACCACATTGGCTAGAGCCATGGCAATAGGCAATTCCCCTTGATCTCCCATCATGGTCACTAATTCCACCAGTCTTTCGAAGCGATCAGCTAGAACTGTCTCAGCTAATGTGTCAAACTCTGTTCCCTGCTGCAGAATTTTTGTAAGGACTTCCATAAATGTAGCTCTTGTCTGCAGGTCCTTATGGTAGCCAAGACCTAAGATCAAAACATGCAGCAATCAAAATGTGCATCTAATATGATACCTTTATGCTAATGGATATACAAGTCAACCATGGCTACTCACCTATTGAGTGCATAAGGCCACTATCCACATTGGCATTCAGAAGATTAGACATAGCTAAAACTGTACAGTGCCTTAAGGAAGCTAAGCGACGAGACATGCCTCTCTTTCCTGCCACCTGTCTGTGTGCCATCATCTTCAACCTCACTGCAATCATTTAGCAGGTTCATGAACAGTGTGAAATACCTAAACAAGAGAAATCAAGATGTGCAAGTCAAACATATAATCAACCTTTAACCACTTGCCCTCCAGAGGATTTACCCCCCTTCCTGACCAGGCCATATTTTGCATTATGGCTCTGTTTACTTTAACTGACAATTGCGCAGTCATGCAACGCTGCACCCAAATGAAATTTATGTCCTTTTTTCCCCCCCACAAATAGAGTTTTCTTTTGGTGGTATTTGATCGCTTGTGTGTTTTTTTTTTTGCACTGTATAAAAAAAAAAGACCGACAATTTTGAGAAAAAAAACACAAATTTTTTTTAAACATGTCCAGTAAAAAATTAAAAAAAAAAAAAAAATCAAATTTCATCATAAATTTAGGCCAAAATGTATTCTGCTACATGTCTTTGCTAAAAAAAAAAAAACTCAAACGTGTAAATTAATTGTTTACGTGAAAGTTATAGTGTTACAAATGGCGGTATATATACTGGAATATTTTTTTTTTACAAAAACAGTTCTCTCTCCCCCCCCTCCCCGTTGGAGATGCTCGGCAATCACTGGGTGTTGGTGAATAATCACCGGCCGGGACCCAGTGATTGATAGCCGAGGCTGCGCACCCCCCATACCTGGAACTGCAAAATCATGTGTGTGTGTGTATATGTATATATGTATATATGTATATATATATATATATATATACATATACACACATATATATATATATATATATATATATATATATATATATATATATATATATATATATATATATATATATATATACACACACACATGATTTTTGCGCACCCATGCCGCCCTGTAGCAGTACTTCTGCTATAGGGCGGACGGGAAGCGGTTATATCAGACTGACCAGGTTGGTTTAGGCCTCTTATCTGACCGATGTGTGTGTGTAATACTTAATAAATAGTTACCATCAAGAATTTACCATAAAGGTTATTTTTTTTAGCTTTTTTCTTAAATAAATCAAGATAGCTATCTTACAAGAAAATCAGTCCTCAACTACCTGGAAATCATGTTCGCTTTCCTGGTTCGGCAGCATTTGCCCAATCAAAATGTCCTAATGACCCCCCACGAAAAAACTGCTTTATAATTTTCGGGTTCTCCCGATACCTGTCCAGGCACACATCCTTAGAAATGAGAATGCTAAAGTTTATTTGACGCCATTGCAGAGGTCTTGCGGCCCCACATATTATATTGTCATAAAATAAAATGTAGTCTTATTTAGGTATTATGCACTGCTCTCCCATCCCGATTTCAATATGGAACCCTCCTAACCCTCGGCCCTCTATCATTGACCCCACTTTACAGATTCATTCAAGTACCGTACTCTAATGAGCTGATTTCGACTCACCTCCATCTTTCAGGTGTTTTAAATAACCTTATGTGTCCCCCCGGCATCACAAAGCCCTTCAGCTTTTGACTGGTGGTCTGCTAGAGGATCTTTTTTTTCCTTAGACAAGTCCTTTACATATTAAATTCAGAAAACTTAAAACTTCTTACCATCTCCTATTGTACACACACATTCCCAAAATCATCATAATCAGCCTTGCCGTTTCAAAAGTAGATGGAAAAACTTGCCACTTTTGAGAGGTGTGATCTCTCTTGCACACGGCCCAGCTCTCTACCACAATATACTCTTAACTGGGAACACGATATAGGTAAAGCACTTGATTAGTCCGCCTGGAACAAAATCTGTCCAGCTGCAGCCACATGCTCCACTAATATTCTGGCCCAGGAAAATGTCCACAAAATAGTATTACTCCAAAGCAAATAGCTTCACACCATCAGTTTCACCTAAATGAAACAAGTGCAATCCCCTCACTACACAATCAATCCCTGATTTCTGTTTAAATCCTGCTGACCTGAGGAAGAAGTTGCTTCCATGAGTTACTAGACAGAGCACTGTGCAAGACCAGTTGAACTCTTAAAGCTGAATCAGCAACCTATCTACTGTCTTGTGCAGCGTAACCATTGACATTTGACACTGCCATTTCCGCACTAACTGCAAGCTAGACTGGGAAAGGGCCTTAGCCTCATGTCTTCTCAAATGTTTAAAGGTAAATACATTTAAAAATCATCTGGCAATTTTCTCAGTATGATCCCACAAAAAATATATACAGAATGCATTTTAAAATACTATTCCCTTATATGGTTCCGCTTATTTTGAGACTCGCTTTGAAGAACTTAAGATGAGCTACAAATATTGTGATTTATATGAATGCAACAGGGTTTACTGTTAATTTCAACTGGGTTTTCACATTTTATGTTCTAATGAAACTTAAAGAACAGTTGTTTGCAAGCTGGGCCACAGTCTGTGCCAACTTTCACTAAACCCAGTGGAGTCAGGGGAAGGAAAGTAGATGCCAAATGCAGCTTGAATGGATACATTGCTCTTGTTCAAATGTAAGGACCACAGCACAAGACTATTTTATACACTGCTGTCCCTTCTATGCTCCACCAACCTTTTGAGAGGAACAAATTTAGAGTGATTGTAAAGACTTTTTTTTATAATAACAAATTGATACTTTTCTGCTCTTTGTAATGCAATTGCAATTGGTGCTCCTGGCTCCTCCTCTTCTTGGTGTGCCCTCATAGCAAGCTACTTGTTATGGGGACACACCTGTAGGCTCGCTGCCAAGCCACAATGCCTGCTTCCATAGACACAGTGTGGCTTGGACCTGCTGCCCTGCTCCTTCGTCCTAGGATTTGATTGACAGCAGCAGGAGCCAACAGCCGCTGCCTCAGTAAAGCATGTGAGAATATACAGCCGCTACAGACAGGCACATCGCTGAATTGAGTGAGGACTGAGGTAAGTATAAGTGGGGGTTGAGCGGGCATACTGCTACCTACATTTTTTTAACCTTAAAGCATGAAATGCATTAGGGGTAAAAAATGTTTAGGATTTAGAATCACAAAGTGCAAAAAACAAAAAGCCTTCCACTAGACCATTGTGAAGCACAATACAGTGTTTGCAAAAAAGAAAGCTTTGGCCACTATCCTAAAATGAGCAATAAGCACAGTGAGACATGTAGATACTAGCTGAAAACTATGTATAACTGTATGTATATATATATATATATATATACATATATATATATATATATATACACATAAATACATACATACACACACACTGCAAGGATTTTAGCCAACATGTTGGCCAATTAAAAAAAAATGCTATACTAGAGATTAATTTCGTACCTTTACTAAGAGAAATGCATAGGTGGCCACTGCTAACTTTTCTTACTAAATATCTTAGTTGTCCTCTAGGTTGAGCTAATTGCTGCAATCACTTCTGAGTTACTCAAACAGAACAATAATGCAATAAAAGGGTTCCCTAATCTTACTTGCTTTAAACTTGGTCAAAACCCAAAAATATCAAGTATTGAAGCTGTTAAATCTCAGCATGACAGCCAGAAAGTAATTGTATTAGCATGAAAGCTAAGAAAGAAAACTTTTCAGGCTACAGGTCAGGAAAGCAAGCTATTTTTTATTCCTAGCACAGGTGCTGTTTAAACTGATGCAAATGCTTCTATGTGCTTTGTAAAATGCTTGCAAATAGGAATGCTCTGTTGTGAGTAAAAGCATGTACCTACTTGAGAAATAATTGGGATTTTGCTTCCATCAACTCAACACCATCTCCTTCTTCAGGTTGAAGAGGTAGGCCAGCAAGAAGAGATACCACTGCTTCCATACTTGCTTGATCCAAATCTCTGCAGGAATACAAAGGGAAAGAAATCACATTATCCAACACTAACTTGCACAGGGCCACATGAGCCGATTCAGCATAACTGCAGTCGTATTTTCTCTGCCCATGTACAGCGTACAGCCTGTCATTAATATGCATGGTTGTGAGCCACTGTTTGCGTGTATATAGTGGTGCTATCAAACAAGAGTACAGCATACAAGCTTTTGAAAAAATTAAACATTTTCTATTTTTTGCAAACATTCGTATATGTGAGAAGAGCATCACACAGCCATTGATGTTAATGACGTTGCACCTTGGTGGAGGAAATACTGCTGCCATTATGCTGAACAGGCTCAGTGGGCCTTGTGCAAGAACCCTTAAAGATTGTCTCAACATTGTCCTGGAATAGCAGAAGCATTGAATACCTTGTGAGGCATTTTACATCCTCATCGGCAGCTTGGTTAGATGTTCCCATTACCCAGTCAGTCAAATACTCGACCATCTTGTTTCTAAAAATAAGATAAAATGTTACCTACTGTACAGCTTTTTATGAACAAAGGTAGTTTAAAGGAAAAAAAAAACAAGTGAATCAAACTAAAATAATTCAGTTACCTCATTTATCTAACTATCTCAAACAACTATTGCTTTTGCTACCCATAAAAAATTGAAACACACTGCCATGCTGACTTGTTTTAGAGGTGCAGACTCATATCCTGATCCTGGCTTTACTGCTTACAGCAGAATGTCACCTAGAAAGGGAAGTTCCATTTTATCCCCTCCACTTTTGGAACTTTTTTTATGGAGCTGGGAACCTAAATTTGACAGGCACCCATTCCCAATTCTGCTGGTATCGCCTAGATTCCACCAAACATTCTCTTACACCCATACTGCCCCCCCTTCCTGGAAGACATCACAGGTTCCATACAGGCTGCAGGTCCATTCACAAAGCACAACACACGCAAGTGCAGTGGGGAGCTGGCTGTGACACAGACAGCTTCCCACTGTAACCATGCAGGTGCTAGCGACCTGAAGACTGGCAAAAAAATCGACCCAGGTGAGGACAGCGCTAGATCCCTGGACAGGTAAGTGTCCGATTGTTAAAAGACAGCAGAAAGCAGCTGGCTTTAATTTTTTCTTTTTTAAATGACTGAAGAAACTCTTTAAGGCCGCATGCACACTGCAGCTATTCTGAAAGCCTTTCTTCTGGCAGAAGAGAACAGAGTTAAAACTGCCTAAATCCATGAACACGTTTAGGTGCATCAAGCTTTTTGGCGTTCACGCATTCTATTGACCAGAATATTAATTTATTCTGGTCATTGAAATTAATGCTCAAGTACTAAAATTGTCTAGTATTTAGGAATGTTGAGTATTTTTCTTCTGCCCAAATGCTCCTCTCCGAAATACACAAGTGATGTTTTTTCCCTGGCTAAATACATATAAACACCTATGTTTCCATGGACACATAGGATAATACGGAGGGGCATTTAAAGGGGGGGGGGGGGGGGGGGGTTAAGTGGCGTTTTTGACACCCAGTGTGCATGAAGCCAAAGGTTTATTTATGGTTTTGTTAAGAATATATAAATATTTGAATGTCCTTAGCATGATCATAGTAAGGTGTAGTACCACATTAGAAAAAAAAATAAAATAAACCCGTGCCAATAAATACTCAATGACTTAATAAATTAATACTGCTGCTCATAGATGGAAGAGACATCAATTCAAAATATGACCAAACAGCAGCGCGTAAAAAAAAAAAAATATACATTTCATCAAGTGAAACAAATAAGTGAATATAAGTATATAGAAAATGTTAAAAATATATATAAACAAATAAAGTCCAAAAGTCCCAAATCAGTGGTGAAAAATGTGCTCCAATCAGAAGATAGTGCTCAAAAAAACTCTCCAAAGTGCCCACACCATCCGTGACTTCCAATCTGGCCCGCACTCACCAAATAGAATGGACTCTTAGCTGGTAGGGGTTAAGAGGCAAACAGGCTTAAAGGTGGGGTATATCCTCCACAGATGTATCCCACTCAGGAAATCCTTGCTTGACAGCCTCCAAACGAACAACCACAGATAGATAGCAATGCAAAGAGATAATAGAAACACTAATAGTGTGATACTGCATAAACTTTTAATAGTTAAAAACCGATGCCTATATTGCACTCGTATTTTAAAAACGGATATCAAGCCTTTTGAACATAAAACTCTCAAGCAGATAGCAGGTCACATCAACATTTTTCCATAGAAAGTGAACTGGCAGCAGTCTATGGAGATGTGCTCTCCGCTCCAACAAAATGGCTCTGGAGCGCCGCAACTAGCGCGCGCTCCACTCACCGTATGTGACATCACAAAGCCTCCATCGGAACCGGAAATTGCGTCAACGCGTTTCGCCCCTCCTCCAGGGCGTTATCACAGATAAGTGCGCGGCACATAACAGATAACAACTAAGCCCAAAGTGAGGCAAAGCCTCGCATACTCACAAAGCCAAGCAGCTGGAGCGGACTACCAGGCAGAGGAGGTGACCAAATCTAAGTGGGTGCTTCAGGAGAAAAAGCAGGATGGTGGATCTTGTAGGCTGAATGAAAGAAATTCCCCTTGTCTGAGGGAAGCAATAACAGATCTCTTAGATTCCATCGAAAGTTTCGGTACACAAAAAAACAAAATCTATTTAGAGATTTTGGGACTGTAAACAGGTTTGAATATAAACCTCAAAATCGTTCTTCTGAAGGAACCAGTACAACCATCTTTTGTACTTTAAGTTGATACAAGGCAGTAATTAAATCTGCCTTACTTTGGTCTGAAGCTGGCAGATTGGAAGGTAAAAAAAGTGAGGAGAGGGAGATAAAAACTCAGTTTTGTACCCCTTTAAAATGACAGAATGGACTGAGAGGATCGAGACATCTTAAACCCAAAGTAGGACAAATGTCAACTAATTTACACCCACATGAGTGGTGGGACTCCTGCATCGTAAAGGAGGGCTACTGAGAAGGTTTGGTGGGCACATTGGGCCTGGGCTTGTGACGAAGGAAAGTGATAAAGACTTCGCTGTGATGCATGATTAGAACAGAATGACCCCTTTCTTTGAGTAGAGGTAGAAACTGTAGGAGACTTAGACATTTATTATGGAGTAGAAGCACCTTTCAGTCACTTACATTATGAATTTGTCAAGGGATTGACGAGAGACATTCACCATTAAATGAAATGTTTTATACAAGCATGCTTAGCAGACCAAGCTTTTAGCCACAAAATCCTGGGCATATGTGCAGAGAAAAGAAATTCTTGAGAGTTTGTGAAATGCAATCTCAAGAGCATGAACATAAAACAGTAGGGCTGAAGGAATCAGCTGGGTCTTCAAAACACCTATCAATAGAACGCTTAGGCCTCATGTACACTGCTGCTCCTAAACATGAGTTTAGGAACTTGTGGTGTTTTTTTGCCAAAGCCCCTGAATTCGACTCAACAAAAGCGTATGTGTCCATGCACACATATAGGGGTTGATTTACTAAAGGTAAATATACTGTTGCTTTATATCCTTTCTTGGCTGTTACGGCATGCTCCACCAGGGTGGTTAGTGCCTCCTGGGCATTCGGGCCTCTGTTTCTCAAGTTTGCTAAGCAACAATCAAGACGTCTATGCACGTTTTCTACATTCTCTAAAGTCATTGTGTCACCATCTTCAGATGCTAGTTTTGTCTGCAATGTTTTGCAAGCGGCTGTTTAGGAGTCTCGGGCATCCTTGGGGTGGTTCGGAGTGTTGGCATGTTGCTGTGGGTATATTCTCCATTAGTTGGTTTGTCCACCCCTCATTGTGGCACTGCTTGGGGACATCCCTGTTTGCCCATGTGTAAAGAAGGAGAAACTGTTTCCATCAATGAACAAAAGAGAAAATGGGATTTTTTGTTACTCAGCGTAAAATCCCTTTCTCTGAGTTCATTGAAAGATACAGCACCCACCCCTCTATGAAGTTTTATCCTTTGACACTTTTTGTGACTGACTGGAGGCCTATAGCAGAGGGGGGGGGGGGTTTATGCCCAGAGAGGACTGCCCATAAGAGGTGCCTAGTTGTTTTCTGCCTAGTGTCAGACTGCTGTAGGTAGGGCTATAAAACCCTGTTTGGTCATCAATAAAGAAGAGAAGCTGTCAATGAATGAAAGAGAAAAATCCTTTTAAATTATTTCCCATAGGATAAAAAACAGAAAAAGAACAAGCGATTGTAAGCTCGAAAGAGCAGGGCCCTCAATCCCCTCATGTTTTGCATTGTATTGGTATTGTTCCATCACATGTTCTGTGCCCCTTTGTATTGTACAGCGCTGAGCGAACTATTGGCGCTTTATAAATACTGTATAATAATAATAATAAACCTTTTCAGGGCTGAACCATTTCTCAAAGTCCACAGTCAACCTGTGCATGTATTGTAAAAGTCCTCTTGCCCAATCTCTTAGTACCCATAGGGGTCTGTTTTTATTGTGGAGAATCAGGTACTGTTCGGCAAAGACTAGTGCGCATCACATTCATTAATTTGTCTACAGTGGAAAGCATTTGGCCGTTTATGCTACAAAATCAACATCCTTCAAGTAAATGAGGTACCACTTCTGATTCCTTAACAGGATCAGAAGAGGAAAAGAGGACATGCAGTGTTATTTATTGGTCTCATGGTCAGACAGGTCGCATGGTAAGCACCTGAGAGGAAGATAGAATCATACATGCACAGATTGCTGTTGCCGTAGCTATTTGCAAGCTCCTGTCATTCTAGTTGCAAGAATCTACTGATTCTTGCTTCTGAGATCTGGTGCATGCAGCTAAAATGCGTGTAAAGGAGGAGGCTTTAGGGCAACCACTGCAAGATACCAGAAGAGTAAAGAAAAGATAAAGAGAAAATAGGGAATTATACTATCCATACATATTGTAATGCTTTATGTACATTTTGCTTTTCAGGTGTTCAAAGCTCACCTAAACTTCATTTCTTGACAAAAAGAAAGATCGTCCCTCCGTTCCATCATTACTTCCACCAGTTGACACAGCTTGGTTTTGATCTGTATGGCATGCACCAGGTTACCCAGAACACGTACATATCTGCAAAAATCGAGAAATGACCAGATCTAATCAGAAGTCGCAATATAGATAAACTCAAATTTCAATGAGGGGAGAAAAAAAAGGATTAAAGTAGAAGTCCAGAAGAAAATAATAACTAAACTACACACACATTATATATGTGTGTGTGTGTGTGTGTATCTATGTGCATTTTCAGTGCCATTTACCATAGTCTATGAGAGTTAAATCGCAATGAAATGGTGTAAATGTAATTCAGGAACTATTTTTAAAATCGTGCTATTTGAAATCGCACCTATTAAAACAGGGCCATGGAAATACACTAGATGCAAATTCAGGTGCGATTTGTAAATTGCACGTCACACTTAAAGTTGCAGCGGTGTGAACCAGGGCTTGAACTTGCTTTCAAAGAAGGGTAGAGCTCATGGATGACAATTATGCTGCTGTTCTTTCTTTTCAAGATCAGCAGGCTGGGGAGAAGGTGAACTTGCCCTCATGTAAGAACACAAGGATGACCTAAATCAGTGTGCAGCAGTTCTCTCTTTTCCAAATCAGCAGTCTGGGGAAAGAAAGGTGTAAAAAACTTCAGTAGCCGATTTACCCTCATTTTGACTCATCAGATGCATATGTACCATTTGCAAAATTTTAGGGGAAGAAGGATGCTCAAACGTGCAAATGAGGAACATTACCTGCTTTAACAGAAAGGTGGACCTTATATGTGGGACCAAAATAAATGATCCTACGATTATGTGCCTGGAGTTACACTTTAAAAATAGTGACTTCTGAAAACCCTGTAACCTGTTCTCTGTGGCTTCTAACTGAGTTCTGTAGTACAAGGAGGGGAAAAAAGAAATATGTAAGAAATGTGCACATTGAATTGAAATAGAACTATTGGCAAAACTTTGACTGTGAATAGAGCAAGGGAGGGATATAACCTCACTCACTTTTTTGCCATCTGTGTCCCTCTCTGGATCTTCACTTCCTGTCCCAAAGCCAAACAGGAAGTGAGGAAATCCCAGCAAATTAATGGAATTCCTTGGGGACCCCCCAGGTCTCCTGAATTAATGGCCCCATTGGAAGATTTCCCCTCTCTTATTTTTATAAGGGAAAAACCCAAAATGTGCGATTTTATTTTACTTTCAAAGATAATGGTAAACAGGACAAATAGAGAGGGAGAATCTCCTTAACCACTTGCCCTCCAAAGGATTTACCCCCTTCCGGACCAGGCCATTTTTTGCGATACAGCACGGCGTTACTTTAACTGACAATTGCCTGGTCACGCAGCGCTGCACCCAAATGACATTTACACCCTTTTTTCCCCACAAATAGAGCTTTCTTTCAGAGGTATTTGATCGCCTGTGTGTTTTTTTTTATTTTTTTGCGCTATAAACAAAAAAAGACCGACAATTTTGAGAAAAACCACCATATTTTGTACTTTTTGCTATTAAACATGTCCAGTAAAAAAATTTTAAAAATCTAATTTCATCATAAATTTAGGTCAAAATGTATTCTGCTATGTATTTGCTAAAAAAAAAAAAAAATCCCAATACGTGCAAATTAATTGGTTTATGTGAAAGTTATAGCATCTACAAATATGGAATATTTTTTTTTCATACTAGTAACGACACCGATCAGCGACTTATAGAGGGACTGTGGCGGGCATTCTGACACTGGGAGGAACTGACTTGGTGTCACTGACATCCCCAGTGACACCAATACAGTGATCAGTGCTAATAAAAAGCACCGACACTGTACAAATGGCACTGGGCAGGAAGAGGTTAACATATGGGGCGATCAAAGGATTAACTGTGTGTTTTACTATTAGGGCTGTGTGTGTGCTTCACTGCTCTGCAGAGCTGTAGCAAGCAGTGTGTAGGAGCTGGCAAGGGAGAGATCTGTGTTGTTTATACACAGGTCTCTCCCCTGTTGGAGATACTCAGCGATCACTGGGTGCCGGCAAGTAATCACCAGCCGGGACCCTGTGACTGACAGTCGAGGCTGCGAATGGCCACCACCCGGAACTGCAAAATCACATATATATATATGTGTGTGTGTGTGTGTGTGTGTGTGTGTGTGTATATATATATATATATATATATATATTTATTACATACTGTACACACACACACGTGATTTTGCGCACCCATGCCAACCTGTAGCAGTATTTTTCTGCTATAGGGTGGAGCAAAAGCGGTTAACGAGGATACAGACAGCAAAAAAACCCGATACGTGTTTCGTTTCCACTATCTAAAGTTTTGCCTTTAGTTATACTATAATTCTTCAGAGAATGATGTGCTACAGGATATTCATTGTAACTGTTTTCCCAAACAATAAATTAAAACACAGTCAGTTTGTATGGTTAATGGGGACCCTAATATTGTATGTGTACATGGCAAGTTAATGACAATGCTATCTTTGAAGCACATACTGTGTTGCCAGCTGCAACATATTCTGCTCTGAAACTTTCCCAAACAGACCCTTACAGCTTTCTGGTGGAATCAAAGACAATACAGTACACCGAATTGCAGGGTAGGAGGCAGCAGTTAAAAGCAGGAGAACGGAAATGAAGCTGCAGGCTGCAGAAAAAGCACAAAAACATCCTGCAAATTTTAAAATCCGGGGACTGCAGCTCTACTGTAGACTGTAGGATCAAAAGGCAAGAATATGCAGTAGATAAGAGGGTTAGGGCAAGAACAGGCTGCAAACTGTAGGATTAGGGCAAGAATAGGCTACAGACTGTAGGTGAAGGCAAGAACAGCTGCACACTGCAGGATTGAGGCAAGAACAGGCTACACACTGTAGGATCAGAACAAAAAAAAAAAAAAGACTGCAGACAGTAGAGTTGGTAAAAAAGACCACAGATTATATGGTCAGAGCAAGAATAGGCCACCTATTGTAGGATCCAAGGCAAGAACATAAGAAAAATTAACACTTTTCCATCTAATCCAGCACCTCCATCCAATGCACCTTACAGGTATTTTGTGGTGTTCTTTAAACATAACTTTTGGTTATCCCTCTGGTGGGTTTTTTGAGTTATGTGTGTGGTCTTGTCATTAGTTATACAATTACCTGACTAGATTAAGCATCATGGTCTCTAGACTAGCTTGTCCCAAATGTTCAGAGCTGCCTTCTGTGTGATTATCAAGCAAGTTCTTCAGGATCGTAATTGTCTGTTCAACAAATTGGGTGTTTGTGTCATTGAGCAAAACCTGTAATGCAAAGAACAGAACACACTGTAATAACTGTTTTACTAATAAAACTCAAGGGAACCAGCCAAAGTTGATGTATAAGCAGGCTGCAGACAAATGCACAGTCTGACTTTTGGATTACACTGCTAAACTAAAAAACAATCTATTAGCACACATGTTAAACACATTAGCTCTTCATAAAAGTCATATTTTACTTACCTGCCCTTGGGAGTCAAAGAACTTGCTGATGTTGTTCTTCATTTTGTTGAACAGCATTGGATACAAAGCAGGGCTCAACTCTAAACCAACCAGGTCTTTTATGTTTGTCCGAATCTGAATTCCAACTTTCTCATTGTTGCAGACCATTAATGAGAGAAGCCGATCAAGAAACTTGCTGACTGGAGTTTCTGCATTTCCTTCAGTAGAAACCATTGAGATAACAGAACCTTTTCGCTCGTTAACAGCACCCATGGGGGGACTGTATGTAACTAGTCCCACATTGCTGCGATGTTGCAGACAGACTCCACCAAGTGCAGAAAGAAAACCAGTCATGTTAATCCACTCCTGTAGAGAGTCTGTATCAGACAGGTCTATGGAACCACCTCCACTTACATGAGACATTCGCCTCTTCACAATGGTTTTGTGAAGGCTTTCTGTGACCTGAAGAAAACATTTAAACTTTGTTACTATTTTGCATAGCAAAAATCTACCCATGAACAGATGAATTACCAGTCAGTTTTAGAGCAGAGATCCCTGGTGCCTACCAGTGAGTATCCATGCAGGAACAGAGAGAACATGTAAACTCCAGGCAGGTAGTGCCATGGTGTTGAGATTGGAGCCAAAGACCCTAGTGCTGCCTAGGAAAGTGCTAACCACTTAGCCACCGTGCTGCCAGTTCATTAAAAAAAAAAAAATATATATACAGTGTATATGTTGATTTGTGTATATGCACCAATACCGGTTTTTATCAGCAAGTACGAGTACCCATACTTTGCAGTGCGAGTTGCGTTAATGGAAACTGCACCGCAAAGAATACCATGCGATTTGAACAGGAATGTAATTCCTATCCAAAGGGCATGCGGTTTACCCACTGCTCCTGTGTGAACCCAGGCTTGTCATAGCCCAAGTTTGCACAGGAGCAGTGTGGGAAACCTACCTGAAAGCATCCCATGCTGAGTGTCAGATTTGAAATCCCTGCAGCTTTCTTTACTCTCCTTGCAGCGATGACAGCTTGGGCTAGACAGCATCTGATTGGTAATAAAATTGAATGACACGGAAAAAGTATAGAACACGCTAACTGAAATTTATTTAATTCTTCGAACAAAATCCTTTGTTGGTAATGACAACTTCAAGATACCTGTATAGAGAAACTAGTCGAATGCATTTCTCAGGTGTGGTTTTGACCCATTCTTCCACACAGTCTTCAAATCTTGAAGGTTCTGTGGGCCTCTTCTATGAACTCTGATCTTTATTTCTTTCCATAGAATTTCTATTGGCTTCAAGTCAGGTGATTGGCTGGGCCATTATTTCGTTATTTTCTTTCTTTTAAACCAATTGAGAGTTTCCTTGGCTTGTGTTTCATTGTCTTGCTGAAATGTCCACCCTTGTTTCATCTTCATCAGCCTGGTAGATGGCAGCAGATTTTTATCAAGAAAGTCTTGGTACATTTTCCCATTCATCCTTTCTTCAATGACATGAAGCTTGCTAGTACCATATGCTGAAAAACAGCCCCACAGCATGATGTTCCCACCTCCAATCTTTACTGTTGGTATGGTGTTTTGGGGTGAAGTGCAGTGCTATTTGACCTCCAAACACGGTGTGTGTATTATGGCATCTAAAGAGTTCAATTTTGGTCTGATCTGACTAGGTTATATTCTCCCAGTAAAAAAGGAAAAACCTGCACTACCCCCAAAAAATTTAATGACAATGAATAAATATGTGAATAAATATAGTGAACTGCTGCTACTCTTTTCTTGAACTCCAAAAAATACTATATAAAAAGTGAGTGCGCTGTACACTGAAACAATCAAATGCAATAATCAAACACAATATATCCACAAAATGATAATGTGGCAAAAAATATTGCTACAGCGCTATAAAAAGTCCAAATTCATATACTGAACAATTAAAAAAGTCCCAAATCCGGTGACACAGTGTTGTGTGCTGAAAAATCTTCCAACAAAAGTGTATACTGTAGGGGTCCACAAGTGCTTGACACAACAGAAAAATCAGCCTCTTACCAGACACATTGATCTCCAATCAAGAGATCAAACGAGCAGACGGTGTTCAGATCCAACACTGACACCCATGTTAGCAGTATCGAGGAGATGAATGAACAACTGCAGGTTCACCTCGGTGGATTCACCACACTAAAGAGCTCTGTTCAGTTCCAGAAGACCAAGGACACAATTATAGCAATCAGATGCAGTTTTCCAATTTTCCAGGAAAATTTACCTTCACAAGAAACCTCTTTTTACAAAGTTTGTTTCTTCTCAGCCGCCTCCTTTATCTGGTCTTTTCCATCACAGGGACTCTTCCTGTGTGTGTGCTTTTCCTTGATTCACTGATAAATCAGTTTATTACTGAAGTCTTCCCCACAGGCCTCTGCTTCCTCTAAATTATCCCCCTCTGCTCAGTCAGCCAAATCTCCCAGTACTTCACAGGCTTCTCTAAATGCTGTGCAGTAAACTGTAAACGGACTTCAACATGCTTTTTCTTCAGCGATGGAGTCTTGCGTGGTGAGTGTGCATACAGGCCATGACAGTTGAGTGCATTACTTATGGTTTCCTTTGAAATAATTGTACCTACTAATTTCCAGATCTTTCTGAAGCTCTCCACAAATGGTCATTGGCTCTTGGACAACTCTTCTGGTAATTAATTTCACTTCTCTGTCAGAAATCTTGCAAGGAGCACCTGGATGTGGCTGGTTTATGGTGACATGATGTTCTTTCCACTTACGGATTATGGCCCCAACAGTGCTCACTGGAACATTCAGAAGTTTAGAAATCCTTCTGTAACCAATGCCATTAGTATGTTTTGCAACAAAAAGGTCGCAAAGGTCTTGAGAGAGCTCTTTGCTTTTGCTCAGCATGAAATGTTTCTTGTGTGACGCCTTTTTAATGAGAAACCTTTTTATATGCCATCAGTTGAGACTGAACCAGCTGATATTAATTTGCACTGACAAGGGGCAGAATTGCTTTCTAATTACTGATAGATTTCAGCTGGTGTCTTGGCTTTCCATGCCTTTTTGCACCTCCTTTATTCATGTGTTAAAGACTTTTTCCCTGTGTCATTCCATTTTATTACACATAATTTCTGAACTTAATTTGTTTTGGTTTCTTTGTATGTATGGATTGCATGGGATGTTACCGACATTTGGTGAACAATTCATGTCAATAGTACCGTTAGAAATGTTTTTACTGAGAAAAATGGTGACACGTGTGTGTGTTTTTTTTTATATACACACAGAATGTAACCAAAGCACTTTTTCAAGTACAAACAAGAATGGGTAAGGCCCGGTTCTCATAGTATGGAGACCTGCGTTTTACCGCACTGGAAGAAAACAGTTCACACATAAAACAATACAGACATGCTGCATTGGACAGGACTGCATGTAGAGTGACAAATGTAACCTATGCACTTCAAATAAAGTTTTTCCAAAAAAAACAAAAACTGGAGCTGTGTGATGCACCAAAAACACACCATGTCAACCCCTACTGCTGGCTGACTGCTGCCAGAACAGATAGCTCCTGCACACTAAACCACACCGCTGTGGTTTAGTGTGCGCCACCTGTGAACAGTCCCTAAAGCCTCTGTCAGGATGTTACTGCTGTTAGTGTTCTCCTGTTGTGGTGACATCGGTTCCTCCTGCAATTTCGTGCATCAGGATAGATGAGGGAGGGGAAGCTTTATATTGGGTTTATCAACAGCAATAAAAACCTAACAGCAGTTCTAACTTTTTTCTATCCTGTCCAGAACAAAGGTGAAGGTTCTGGCTAGAGCTGGTCTTTAAAATGTATTAAAACATGCAGTGTTTTCATCACCTGGCCATCTTCCAGCTTAGCTTTTGGGAAGTTCAGAATCAACTTGGTGGCTTGCTCCCACTTTGCATACGTATCTTCCCAAGCCTGGGAACAGGAACAGAAGATAAATATATGCATATAAAAATGTTTTAAATATACATAGATATAAAGATGACAGACTCACTTCTGTGTTCCCAGGAGTTGGATGTTCTATTCTTCTTAGCAAGGCCATGACACGCTTCTGTAAAGCTGCTCTACCTAAAAAATGTACAAACGGTACCAAAGTCAATCACATAAAAGCGCTTAGAAAAAAGTACTGAATACTTTAAAACGAACGTTCACTTAACATAAAAATGCTGAAAGAACCCAAATATGATGCCAACTATATAGACTAAAGCAGTACAAAGCACCTGAAGTAAAGGCATAGGGAATGGCATGAGACTTCCAATACATAAAAGTATGCTTATCGTTACCAATCTGAAACTTAGAAAAAGTTATTTAAAACTACTCAGTCTGAATCTGTAACACAGGTAAGGCAACTGATCCGTTTTCAGAGCAAAAGCAAACATAGAACAAATACCCTGAAAAGAAATTTCTACAGTAGCATATAATGTAAACACAGGTGCTCTTATAAGCTTACCCAGAGACATCATGTTGCTTACAGAAGCAAACTCCAAGAAAGTGTTATAATTTGGCAAGAAATTATGAACAGATACTTCATCAACTCCACAACGTATATCCGCTTCCTCACATAGGCTTCGAAAACAGGACATGGCCACTAGAACAGCTTCAATGTCTGGGCTCCAGAGAAACATGTACAGACAAACCTCTAATTTAGTCTGGGCTTGACGACATATTGGAATTGCACTTCCGACAGCAGCACACTCCTACAAGAGAAGACCAGAAGTATGATATTCATAGAATACTGGAAAAAAAAACATAACTAAATAAAAAAAAAACAGTATGCTTTACAACTAGATAAGCAATAAAGATTTTTGACAAAGCTCATAAAATCAAATAAGACAAATATGGAGGCCGCCACTGCCGAAAATGCTAGTTGCCAGGCTGACCCTCTAGCATCCATATTCTTAGTCCACTACCCTGAACAGTTTTTATTTTCCTTTTCTTTTACAAAGGTTTTTATTGTTATTATTCAGTTGCACAAAGTCATAAAGTCAGCAATAAATATGAAAAAGGAGGAATACGCGGATAAACAAGAGTTTAAACAGGGTTTAAAACCATTGCTCATAAAAGTCGAGGGTCTAAGCCAGCGTATAATTGTGAGTAGCATAAAATTGCCAGTGACTTCTCAGAACAGATGTTCGATTAAACAGGAGAACAGCATACAAAAATATAGTATGTTACCATAAAATACAAATTTTGCAACCATCTTAGCCTGGCAGGTGTCAGATGACCTATTAGTGTAACAGTAGTACAAAAAATGAGAATATATAAACGGCGGAAAGGGCAAAGTCAGAACAGAGTAGAAAGAAAAGAAAAATAGGGGGGTGATGAAAGAAGGGTCCCCAAGGGTCCATAGCACAGGGCCACTAAAGCAGCAGAAGGGCATTGTCAAATCGAGATGATTGCGCGCTTGTAATCAAAGGCTACCAAACCCGGAGAAACTTTTCATGGGTATCCAAGTAGCATGGCTGTCAATTTTTCAAGGACCAATATAATTCATCTGGTGTTTGACAGCCTCAAAACTAAGGATTGGGGGTTTCCATGCTTTTGCTATAGTCAGATTGGTTGCTGTGAATAAATGTGATGCCAATTATTGTTCAGGGCGAAGTAGTTCTATTATTGGTTTGAAGAGAAGGGCTTCATATTGGTTTTGTTTAATTTATTATACAAACCTGGCTAGTATCAGGTTGGACCCCTTTTTGCCTTCAGAACTGCCTTGATTCTTGTGGCATAGATTCAACAAGGTGTTGGAAACACTCCTCAAAGATTGTGGTTCATACTGACATGGTAGCATCACCCAGTTGCTGCAGATTTGTCAGCTGCACATCCATGATGCAAATCTCCCGTTCCACCACATCCCAAAGGTGTTCTATTGGATTGAGATCTGGTGACTGTGGAGGCCACTGAAGTACAGTGAACTCCTTGTCATGTTCAAGAAACCAGTTTGAGATGATTTGAGCTTTGCAACATGGTGCATTATCCTAATGAAAGTAGCCATCAGAAGATAGGTACACTGTAGTTATAAAAGGATGGAAAAAATAATAGAAGAAAGACCGCAATGACCTAGTGAAAATGTAGGTAATCTACTCAAAAACAGAACAGGCATGTAATGGGATGCAACGAGACCTCCTCTAGGTCAACAATACGAAGCCAGTGGTATAGAAAATCTGCATAGCGTTCTAAGGCTTAAGCATTTCGAGGGACGGATCCTCTTCTTCAGAGCCAAAGCAAGTGTGACTTAAACCACAAACCTTTATAGCTAATAATTAGTCACCTCCCACTACAATCAAGGGGGAGAAGATAGAGGTGGAGCTACAGATCATGTGAGCAAAAACATTATGAATACTATAAAACACTATTTTTAATGGCTGACTGGTATGTCAGCAAGGAAAACACAACCTCCAAATTGAACAATCAAACCACACTTACAGAACATATAGTTGGAATCCACATACTTAATATCATATTCCTCTCCCTTTAAGTGGATGTCCTTGAAAAACAATCCTCTGGGTTATGATAGCACTATAACTCTGGTATAATCGTAGTAAGCTACTTGTGGGAACACAAAAAAGTGGCTAGTCCAGATTCACAGTGTAGATGGTAAAGACCCACATGGTGGTGTGCTTCTATAGAGCACACACAACTTACTGAGGAGGAGAAAGCTTCTAAAGGAACACAACACCATGTGGATCTTTATCATCTACACTGTGAATACATCGAGGCCAAAATGTACTTTGCTATATGTCTTTTATATGAAAAAAAAAAAGACAAAAAAGTCAATCCAGTTCAACCGATAAAAAAAAGAGGAAAAAAAAAAAAAAAAAGATAAAAAAGTTATAATCCTACACCCACAGTTGATCCAGAGGAAGGCAAAAAAAAATACCCAGCAATTTGCTTTTGCAGGGGAAACAATTCCTTCCTGATCCTCCCTGGATAAACCTTACATATAAATGTTAGTATCCAGTTATATTCTGTGTATCCAAGAAAGAATACAGGCCTTTTTTAAAGCAATGCAATGAACTGGCAGAACCAACTCTTGAGGGAGTCTATTCCACATTTTCACAGCTCTTACTGTGAAAAACCTTTCCACGTATGGAGATTACATTTCTTTTCTCAAAACGTAAAGAGTGCCCCCTTGTCCTCTGTGATGACCTCAGGGCGAATAACTCTACACTGAGTTCACTATATGAACCACTGATGTATTTATACATGTTGATCATATCCCCCCTTAATCTCATCTTCTCAAGAGAGAATAAATTCAGTTCCTCTAATCTTTCCTCATAACTGAGCTCCTCCATGCCTCGTATCAGTTTAGTTTCCCTTCTCTGTACTTTCTCCAGGTCCCCAATGTTCTATTTGTGAATTGGTGCCATAAATTGAACTGCATATTACAGATGAGGCTTAACTAATAATTTGTACAGGGGAAATATGATATCTCTCTGGAGTCTATACCTCTTTTAATACAAGAGAGGATTTTGCTCGCTTTAGAAACCGCAACTTGGCATTGCATGCCATTATTAAGCTTGTGATCTACCAGAACTCCCAGATCCTTCTCCACCATTGATTCCCCCAGTTGTACCCCCCCCCAGTATGTATGATGCATGCATATTCTTAGCCCCCAAGTGCATAACCTTACATTTATCAACATTAAACCTCATTTGCCACATAGTTGCCCAATTAAACATGTATATCAATTTGTGATATATATATCGTCTGTCGTCTTATAGCGTCTACAAACTATGGTATTTACAGTGTCTCACAGAAGTGAGTACACCCCTCACATTTTTGTAAATATTTTATTATTGTACGGGGGGGGGGGCACAGTCAGAAATGGTGTGCAGTTCTCTGCGTGAGTGTGGTTTATGCTGGAGTGTGAAGATGCAGTTGAACACAGCAGTTTAACTGAAGCAGGATAATTCAAGCAGCAGGAAGATACAACGAACTCTACTGCACGCTGGATGGACTGCAAGCAAACACCCTGGGAAACATCTCTTACAAGTCTGACTCCCACTCCATGTACCTTTTAATATGTTCCCTCTACTCCTCCTTTTCATATTACTATCCTGTGTTCTCTAAATCTCATCTCTTTACCCCTCTGCTCCACCTCAAACACTTTACTCACCTGCCGACCCAAACACCAGGACTGGAAGGCATTTACACTCGTATACATCCCACTCCCATTTTACTTTCCTCACCATCCTACTCCTAACCTCTGGGGATATCTCCCCAAACCCTGTCCTCCACTATTTCACCCCCACACCAGGCACCCTCTTTCCTCTGGGAATAGCCGCATTCTGCTCAATTTAATATCAGTCCCCGTGCTCCCAAAAAACATCTTCCCTTTTTCATGTGCACTCTGGAATGCCCGCTCTGTCTGTAATAAGCTCACCTCTGTCCATGACCTTTTTGTCTCCCGCTCCCTTAACTTACTAGCAATTATAGAAACCTGGCTTCAAGCAGCAGATTCTTCTTCTCCCGCAGCACTTTCCTATGGAGGCCTTCTCTGGACCCACTCACCCAGACCCAGTGGTCAGAAAGGAGGTGGGGTTGGTTTGCTTCTATCCCCACTGAGCACCTTTCAAGTCCTCCCTAACCCACCCTCTCTATCCTTCTCTTCTTTCTCACTGCATTCACCTGATTTTTCCCATTTCTCTGAGGATTGCAGTGATCTATCGGCCTACTGGACCGGTGTCCCGCTTTCTTGATGATTTCTCTGCCTGGCTACCCTACTTTCTCTCCTCTGAACTAACCATTATCATTCTTGGAGATTTTAACATCCCCATTAATGTGAACAACTCAGCTACATCCCAACTCTTCAACCTAACCTCATCTTTTGCCTTATGGACAGTCCTCCACTCACTCTGATGGGAATACATTAGACCTTGTTTTCTCCCATCGTTGCACTCCCTATAACCTCAAAAACACCCCCTTTCCTCTCTCTGATCACAATCTCATCACCTTCACAGTGTCCTCATCTTCAAACACCTATCCCTCCAAGCAGCAGACAATTACCCGCAGAAACCTTCACAACTTGAACCCTGCTAATTTCCACTCTGAAACTGATCGCCTGTCCTGACCTGGCCACTGCTGTCTACAACAGTTTGTTTTCATCCACACTAGACTCACTTGCTCCTCTAACAACACGAAGCATCAGGCCCCGACCATTACAACCTTGGCAGACTGACAACACCAGAAATTTTAAAACGACATAGTCGTGTGCTGGAGCGATTGTAGCGTAAAATCAAATCTCACCAAGCTTTTACCCTATATAAATCTGCTTTCTTAACATACAATTTCTCCCTCCATGCTGCCACACAAGCCTACTTTGTCACTCTCGTTAATAGCTCATCATCCACACCTCATCGTCTCTTCTCCACTTTTAACTCTCTACTTTCTCCACCTCCACCCAACACCTCACTCACTACTTACGAGATTGCAAATCATTTCAAAAACAAGATTGATGCAATTCGTACGGGCATCTCTGCTACACAGACATCCATCCCACTTAGCATACCTTATACTGAACCTCCCTCAACACTTTCCTCTTTTGACCTTGCTACTACCAAAGAAGCCCATCTCACCACCTGCCCTCTGGATCCTGTCCCCTCACAACTACTATGGTCACCCTCTTCTTCCATCCTATGCTCCCTCACTCACATCTTCAATCTCTCCCTCTCTTAACGGTGCCTTCCCTCCCCTC